ATATTCATGTATTAATATATTTCAATTTTAAAAGCTCAACCTCCTTGTTCTCTCCTCGACCCTCCCTCTCACACACACATGAATTTTCTGCAGGTATCTGTGTGTGCTTATGTGTATGCATGCATGCGCGCGCGCGCGCGCGCGTGTATCTGTGTGCGCATGTGTGTATGTGTGTGTGTGTGTGTGTGTGTGTGTGTGTGTGTGTGTGTGTGTGAGTGTTTGTGTGCTTGTGTGTGGTTAAGTGTGTTTGTATAAAATTCATATTAAACAACGCGTCTTTGTTAACTTTTTCTGAGTGTAGAAATGCACATGAATTGTATCTTAACCCGTGCGTATTATTCGGATTACTTTCCCTTTTCATCCTCAGTTCCTAATGATTTTGAGCTAACGAAAACAACCATGATGACAAAACGTCATTGTTAGGACACTTGAATCACCATAAATGCCCTGAACATCTTGCTCTCACTGGAAAAATAAAGCTGAGTGTCTCTGCCAGTGTGGTCTTAAACACCGACCATATTTCTTCTCCAGTTAGGTCTGTGCTGTTTACGTCTTCCAGCTTCTGCGTGACTTCTGTCCCCACTTTATGTAGTACCTCTTCCTTCTGAGGTTTTCTTCAGTTGATCTGTGTGGCTATTTCTTTCCTCTTTCTTCTCCTTATTTTTCACTCCGCTGCTTTGTAAATAAGCTAACAGGACAGTGGTCAGAGTCCAAAGTTGCGTTTGGGGTAGATTTCGCATCTGTGACTCTTTCTTCTATTTGGGTCAAGATAAAATCTATCCGTGATGACATATTCAGATCCTTCCATCTGTGCTAAGTCTGTTTTTGACTGGGTCTGTGTTGGTAAAAGGTGTTTGTGATCCAAAGCGCTAGGAGATAAAATCTGTTTCCAACACCTTCTTTGCTGCAACTGGGTGCAGAATAAAACCTGCACAATGTGTTGCCCTTATTGTCTCACACACACTACCCAAAATCAGGACGCAGTCCTCATGGGTCTTTTTGCTTTCAGTTCCCTCCTGCTGCAGTCTGAAATTCCTTTCATCTCTTCATGATCTGAATAACCTCTGGCTCTTCCTCTTTGTCTTTTATTCCACAAACATTCCAAGGACTCATTCCCTTGTTGCCCTTTTCCATTTCCAGTCTTTTTTTATTCGTCCGTTATTTCCCCCTTTTAGTTTCTTGAGCAAATAAGAAATCCACCACCGGCTTGATAGGCCTGTCGCAGCCTGACCAGAGCCCCGTTAGCCGGACGTTTCAGGGTGACTCAGGATGGTCTTCATGGGTACTTTAGCGGTCATGTGAGTAAAACCCACGCTATACATCCTCCAAACCTAACAATCCCCTATTCTGTCCATTTCCACATCCTGCGAGCACGCAACACGCTGCACAGATAAGCATATTAGATTATGGACTATATGGAACGCAAGGAGGAAAACAGAACAAAACAAAACAGAAAAACCCTAAAAGGGACTCGATTAGTTTTCCTGGACATTCTGGGGAAATGTCTTAAATGAAATAGAGAATGTAGAACATGAGCTCTCAAAGAATTCCATTTTTCTTTTTCAAATGTGGAAAACTACAGGAATTTGCAGTTACCAAAATATCTTTACTCCTCAATGAATAATATAGAAGTGATGGAGTCTCGAAATGATCGGGAGTTAACTTGTCGTCATAACTAGCTCAGAATTACATGTGGGCGACATAGTGAAACGCAGAGCACGAGTGTGCTTTTCCAAACTTAACTTTATAGATCAATGTGCAGCGGCTCCAAAGCCAGTCAGTAGTGCATTGAAACAGGTATTCGTACTTATCA